ATCAGTTATCTGTATCATTTACAAATAAAAAGTTGTCATGCTTCATTATTCAAAACAAAGGTGATGGAATTTAAACCTCTCTGTAGCCCTGTGTGAAGTTGTCTGCACATACATCGCCTAGTTTAAAACAATCACTGACTTCAGGTGAAGGCAACAAACCCTAATCAGCTCCTGGTCAGCAGGGCTCGACGTCTCCAGACTGAAGTGAACAAGCATCTCATTAAGGAGATTGACACTGATGTTAACCGCCTCCAGTGTGCTTTTTTGTCTTGTTTTTTCCTGAACTCTCACTTCATCCTGAGTGGAAACACAAGTTACTGGTGCAAATTTTAAACTGAGATACATTTTGGAAGCAGCCAAGCCCTGACCTTATTAAATGGCGATCAAAATATAATCTATCTGTGGCTGCAGGACACCGACACACCTCTCTGACCGAGTTCTTGATGAACCGATTGGCCTCTTGCAGATCCCTGGGCTTTTTGTTGTGGAGCAGATCGGCTAATCTCTGCAGTTAGGAGAAAAATGTCAGTGAGACAATTACCCACATTTCCCACAAATCCGTGCAACTCTGCATGGTAAATATCACCTTCTTTCCAGAGCCAGAAAAAAAAAACAGTACACATAGATCAACTACATAAAATAAACATCTATTCTTGAGCTATTTTTGGTGGACACATACAGAGAGGCAAGAAAAGGAACATTTCAAACGTTTGAAATGCTCTTTGAATAAGATCCTTCTCCTTGAAGGACAGATCAAACAATGCCCGTGGATAGTGACAGAACAGAACTCACGTGTCCAGGCAGCGAAGGGAACTGATTGATTGACAAATGTCTTTGTTTTCACTGATAGCCTTGAGCCGTTATGCAGAATTATTGAAGTGTTCCATGCCCTGTTATACAGCTTCCAGATCAAAACCCAACTGGTCGTTCAGCTAGAAGCTAACCAATGCACCTCTATGAGATAATAGCTTATCTGCAGCTCTGATCTATCTGTCTTCTACATGTCTGCAAATTACTAGTTAAATGTATTTTTAAACATTTACTTGTAAAGATAAACTGCATCTACGTGAGAAAATGCTCAGCAATTCCTCTTTTTTTTTCGTCGTGTTGTGCCACGAAAAGTCGATGTGTGCACATGCACTGCATATGCAGAAACAGTACTGGAGCGTACAGACAGAACCAGATTCCAGGTCAGTTCTTATTACCTTACTCCTCCTCTCATCATCAAACACAGGATTTTTGGGGTGTGAAGACGGAGACGGTATTAATGTTGTATCACAAGGCGTTCCTGGGTCAGACAAGATGATACCTAATAAAAATAAAATGAAAGTTAGGGTTTTTTTAATTACTAGAAAGTTCCAAATCAGTTTGGGTTTATTGGTTGCAATAAAAACAGGGGAATTTAAATTCTCAACAGATCTTTTCAGTAAGGGGGGTGGGGGTGGGGGTGGGGTCAGTTAGAGTGTCTCACCCTGAGACTTCAGCATCTGATATGCTTCACAGATCTTTCCTTCTCCTGGTAGAGACACAGTCCACCCATACAGCATCTCAATCACTTTGGCCTTCACTCTCTTTGACACTTGATCTCCTGGATACTTCAAAAAGCAACAACAAAACAACCACCACAGAGCGATACAGAACATCCAATCAGAGAAGACGTAGCCTCGTTAAAAATAGATCAGAATATTCAGTGACTTACTTTGGGAGAAATTGCTTTAACTAATTTATTTAAAAACTTAAATTGTCCAACTTCACTGTGAAACCTTTGCCCACAGTTCTTCATACAAGCCTCCAGCACCTAGACAAGGGAAAACAGTCTGGAGAACGTTTGGGAAAATGACATCACTCACAACTTTTGGGATTACAGACCGTCAGGGCTTGTAAGACCTCCCAATCCTGAGGAGACTGGATTTTTTGACCCAACAATCCCACAGATATTTGTGGTCTGAAAATCACAAGGTAAAAAAATATCCAACATAATATTATTGATGAACAACTGCTTAATAACTTTTAAAATAATCACCAAACAGCTCTCCTTAAGGAAAGTGTTAAGCTGCACCACCTGAATAATTAATCATTCACTCCCACCCTCCCTGGTGGAGACTTTAAGAATTGCAGTAGACAGTTAATGAAAGAGTTACTGCTTGAGAAAAGACACTTTTTCCTAAATTTTTTGAACGTGACATTTACCTAATTCTATGAATTCTTATAGACTTTGATAGAACTATTATTTTTTTCAAATTATTTTGTTTTGTCAGAGGGTATAACAGCTGTGTTATAATTACAGTTTCATTCGTGATTTCTTTTAAAAAGTTAGAGTGAGTAAGCACCAAAAGTTGTTGTCATTTTTAAAAAGTGAGTAAGCACCAAAAGTTGTTGTCAAGGTTAGGTGTCAGCAACAGTCCTATCCACAGAAAGAAGAATGGCCCTGAAGAACAAGTCTGGAACCAGTAGTCCCAGTGAAGTGTGACTTACTGCAGGACAGAATAAAACTTGAGTGGATTTTGTATCATATTATTTTGCTATATCCTATTGTACAGTCTTTATCTCTGTCTTTGTGCTGCTGCAACATCAATCAAACACAACAATTCCCCCCCGTGTGGGATCAATAAAGTTCAATCTAATCTAATCTATTTTTTTAAAAGAAAGTTTCCTAAAAGATGTTCATAGACAGACTATGTCTAGATTTTATTCTCTAAACTCGGTTAACAATAAATGAGAGCAATTCCTCCTTATGACACTTTGAGCACAGCTTTGATCTAAATCTAACTTCAATGTTTCAGTAATGAGTTTGTGCTTGATCTGAGACAGAGTTTAGTTTTGATGTTTCAAGGTTTCCTTTGTTATTGTTTAAGAACAGAACTAAAATTGAACCCAATTCATAATGTGTTTTGAGGTGAAGAGAACTGAGGTATTTTTTGCTGTAAATTAAAAAAGGATTAGGAATGATAATGTTTAATTAACGGCTGAAAAACAAAAAAACAATGTACTAGTGTTTGGATTCAGGAGAATGTGATGCAGTCTCACGGGAAATGAAAGAAATGTGACCATACCCTTCTGGCTCCTTATTGATTTGGTCACAGAATCCGTTAATACACTCCCAGTCCTCATATCTGTTGGATGTGTTAGTGGCCTTATCTGAAAGAAAAAAACAAATCAGTCATGGCTTTATTTACTGTGAAATAAAACCAACAACATGACAAATAAACTAGCTGGAAACAGCCATGGAAAACCGTGGGGGCTGAATATCACACCATGAAGACCAAGAGTCAAGTTTATTATTTTTTATAAAGTCATTCACTTGTTTTCGCGGGGCTTTATAAAAAGTCATTCACTTGTTTTCGCGGGGCTTTATGAATTCTCTGTTTACCAGCCCCCTCAAACCTCACTCATCCAGTTGGAATTAAAATGAGTTCCTGTATTAAAGTTAACACTTCAGGCGCTTTAAACAAGCCTGTAAACACAAGAGAATAAACACTGAAGCTGGAACTAATACGGGTGTTAAACAAACATTGTTTTCCATGTAGGCTAAGCGTCAACGATTTTCTGAGTCACCAGTTGTCAGTGAAAGCATCTTTAAAAACAAAATAAAACTAAGACATTTGCAGGGAAAGTTAACCTAAAGTCGTCGTCATTCTTGCCAACTGACTAGCAAAATTTCACAGAAAAAAGTAGGATTTATTAAAATTTGAAACAATGACAAAAGATGTGGGAAAAATAAAGTTTATGAACTTACTGAGCCAAGACTGCAGCGACTGTCCATCATCCGCCATATTGCTGTACAGTTAAGAGGTGCATTCAGGTAAACTGGGACATAAACCTCATCTAATCTCGAATTTTGTTCTTTTTTT